GCGGGCTTAGCAGGTGGGAGGGAGGTTAAGGGGCATTCCAGCCAGTTTGGTGCAGCATTACCTCAGTTTCTCAAAAGCAGCTGTCACGGGGGGGTCCTTGTGGGGCTGTTCGCGGTCCGTTCGCTTTATTTTACAGTTCTCATCCCTCAGCGATTTCGAACTGGATTTATGACGGTAGAGTTTTTTATGGGTAGGTCCGTTATTGCCTAAAGTGCTCAGGTTACTATAGTTTTTATCAAAAAAGGGAGCGTGAATGTCCGTGGTGTACCCGGTCGAGCAGTTGGGGCGACCGGGGTCGCCGGTTGCGCCTTTGCCGTTTTTGCTTGAGCCCTTGTTGTTCGACTTGTGGTTCTTTGCTGTCCCCGGCGAGCCGCCGTTCGCCTTCTTCTTCGACTCTTGGGACGTCCCTGCCAAAATTTTAAGAGTTTTCAGTTTCAGGCTGTTGGACTCCGGCGACCGGAATATGTCTGGGACGCTGTTGTGGCCAACGGGTCCCCACAAGGGCTCGATGGAGGCCATCATAAACCTCTGGACGTCCGCCATTCCCGACGCGATGTTGGACAGGATGTTGGAAGGTTCCTCAAACTCCCTCTGATCGTCGTCCAGGAGGCTGGTGGCGTTGGCCAGGCTGGCTTCCGACCAGCCTGCGCCCCCCTCTTTTCCCAGCGCCCACTCTCCGGAGAGCCCGTTGTGCTTGCCCAGTTTCACCCCGGCCGGGCTGCAATGCTGAGCGCCCTCGGCAAGGCCCTTGGTGGCGGTGGCCACGGTGCTCAGCTGGTTGACCACCCTGCCGCCGACAGCCGGAGCCTTCTCGCCGTTGACTCCCACCGCGTTTTTCCCTTTCCGGGCGGATTTGGGTGCCTGCCTGGAGTTTTTCCCTTGCGGCTTATCGGTTCCTTTGTTGGTTTTGGGCGATTTTTTCCGGGTGGCTTTCTGGGAAGAGCTTTGGTTTGTACCCACATTCTTGCTGGTTGAACTTTTCCTCTTCGATTTTGACACTTTGCTATTGGTGCTAATTTGACCAGATGGCTCATTAAATGTTGACAAGCATGGACTCTTTTCGAGAAGGCTGACAGAATCTTCATCGTTGAACATATGGAACTGGAACTGGTGATTATTTAAAGCAAACCCATTATCTGCCTGATCCTCGGTCTGCAGGACCCCGCAGTTCCACTTGACCTTCTCGGAGCTGTTGAGGGCAGCCTGGGGACTCTCCTGAAAGCCCTTCAGGGTGCCCAGAGGCTTGGCGTCGGAGCCAGCTATCTGCGGGGACAGGTTGGGAGTGTCCGGAGGGGACATCTCTGAAAGCGACGACTGGCGGAACTTATCAGGCGTGAAGTTGGAAATGTCTAAAAGGTCCGTGGACTCCTTCAAAGGGGTGATTTCATCTATGCTCTGCTGGATCACTAGCTTGGGACTGCAGTGGGCCAAGAAATCATCATTAATATCATCCTCGCCGTCCTTTTCACAAGACTTTAAACTTAAAGAACTGTAATTGCTAGAACTAACTGACAATGAACCCACTGAATCAAAACTAATGAGCCTGCCATCATCTGTACTTAGTGTACCTCGTTGGAAATGAAAGCGCCCCTCTCCATTATTAAAATGACATGACTGATAAGAATCATCAGACTGCACTTGTTGGCTATCCGGCATGTAATTTTTTTGGTATAGCAATTTGCTGCTATTCAGATTGACTTGAGTGTATCCGGAGGCGGGGAGGCCGTCTGCGCCCGCCGTAGCCAGAAAGAGACTTCCCTCTTGAACGCTTCCGAAGCTGCTCTGCTCCATCTCCAAGTGGCCGGGCGACTGCTGCAGCTCCGACTCGGAGGGAGGGGAGAGCACGCAGCTCTGCGCCGGCTGCAGGGCCGGGAAGGGCTTTTCTGCTGGGACGATGCTGGGGAGCGGGTGCTGCTGCTGCTCGGAGGGATGCTGGGCAAAGTATGAGATACCGGTGTTGCTCGACAAATCAGAAGCATCTAACAACGTCTGCAGATACCCTCCGGGAATCAGGGGTACATTGGTGGTGATATTAGCAGATGGCAGAGGCTTGTCTGAAGAGGAGGTGGATGGTAGGAAAGGAGAATTTTTAGCAACCTTATCCTCGTGGCACTCCGGGAGATGGGAGCTGTCTGAAGCACAAGGAACGTTTTCGTCCTTCAGGCGTACTGCAGAGTCCTGGTTTTCCAGCGCCGGGGAGCCCTCCGCCGTGCTGGTAGCAGCTTTGATCTTCTTGCACTTCAACCTGGCTTCACTTTTGAATTTGATTCTGCGGAGCACTTTCCTCTCCGTCCCCTTGTGCTCCCGCTCCTGCGATTTGCATTTCACGGCGGCGATGCCCGTGATGTCATTTACGTGTAATCCGTTGGCACAGCTGGGGGTGGCGATGGCTAACGCCGGCAGCCCTTTCAGGCCCGCGTCCTCTTTGCTGCTGCAAGGCTGCTTGTGATCAGAGGAGCAAGAGCCCAGCTTGTTCACTGATTGCTCGATGGCTTTAATTCTTTGAATCCGGTGCCTGTTTGCTAGCTTGCATTTTCGCTTCCGTGGGTGAGGGAGGAACGAAGCATCTGAGCCGTTAAGATAGAAATTCTGCTTGTGGTAGAGAGACGATCTGAGCAAATCCAGCCGGCTCTGCTGCCTCTCTTGCCAGAAGCCCTTCAGAGGGGCCAGCTTTTCGTATTTGCTGAGCAGCTCCTCGTTTAGGGTAACAGTTGTCTCGTTGGCATCCACTTTGCTGAGCTTCACCAGCATATGCTTCTCCCCTTTAAACCTGTTAATGATGATGTACTTGATGATCACGGGGGGCTCCTTGCGAGAGACTTTTCGCCGTTTCTTGGGGCACCACTCGTCATCGTCCTCTTCCTTGGGCCCGTCCGGGAGCCACTCCTTCTTGTCCAGGATCTTCTCGTTCTCGATGGAGTCCACGTCGTACAGGTAGTCGTCGCTGTATCGCACTTTCCTCTTCGCCCGCAACCCGTAGTTCTGCTGAATGAAGGAGCTGGAGTGGTCCCGGGACAGGTACCGGCTGCAGTCCTTGATATCCCGCAGCACGTCGTAGGAGGACTCTGTGCAAGTGCTGTCGTCGCTGAACTCCCCGGAGTCCTCCGTGGAGTTCACCGAGTCCAAGAAGTGGCTCCTCTTGGAGCCCACATACTGCACCATCTCCGTGCTGTTGCAAGATTTATTTAAGGCAGCTTTCTCCTCCTCCTCGCCGTCCTCTTCCTCGCCGTCCTCCTCCTCCTCCCCCCAGATGATGCCTTCCTCAGATTTGAATTGAGAAGGGTCGGTGGCACCGCCAGGCCCCCTTTTCAGGGCGCTCCTGCTGTCCCTTTTGGTGCAGTTGCTGAACACGCTGGGGAAGAAGTTGAACTGGGCGTCCTCTTGTAGGGTGGTGGTCTTCTCCCGCACGTTGTCCTGGAAGGATTCGTATCTAATCTTTAGGGAGCAGACATCGCTTCCCAAGGTGGAATCGTCGTCATCGAACATGTAATTATCCACGTCTTCCTCGGAAAACAGATTTACAGAAAGCTCATTTTTGGAGCAGAGGTCAAGCAGCTCAATTTTACTTTCACTAATGAAAGATTCAAAATAGCCCCATTCCTGGTTGGGATTTGTTAGTAAAGGTTCCTCACCATTGCATTTGTCTAATAGTAATCCCTCGTAATAATTTTTCTGAGTGGGGTCCTCTGAATCACTGTCAGATTTTTCTGCATCCCTTTTGTCCGCTGCCCTCGATTTATGCATAGGGAAGCTTAAAAGCTGGTCTGAAAGCAGTTGATCCCCATATCTCATGGTTTCTCCTGTGCTCATGCAGTGAATCCCTATATCAGAGACCGAACAGGTGTCATAATCCCTATTTATATCCCCCACTTTCAAGCTTATTCCCGGCTCTGCATCAATGCCGTCCTTTGATTCAATAAAGCAGCCCAGACAGGTCCGGCTCGGCTGCATCAAGCAGTCACCCGTCAGCGCCGACATGCCTCCGGGCTCCATCATGGTGAAGGGAGCCTTCTCGCAGTCGCCCGGCAGCGACCAGGAGCTCATGCCCTTCGTCACGCAGGACGTGAGGGAGATGGCGTGGGCGGAGGAGTCATCCGAGGCGTGCTCGGGTACATCCGTGAGCCTCAGAGGCGACGGGGGGCTCAGCAAGCAGGGCTTCTTCGAAGTCAGGGGAGGCAGCGCCCGGTGGCACGCGTGGTTTTCCTTCTGAGCTGTCGTCAAGGCTGAGAACGTGACCGCAGCCTCGGCGGCGGTGCAAGGCCTCTCATCGCCGTCCAGGGCGTGCGATTCTGGGAGGGAGGTAAGGAAAAGGGAGGGAGAGAAGAAAGGGAAAAGAGAGAGGGTTTACAACCCTTGCAGTTGTGCCGGGGCTCGCCGCCCCGCTCCCCTTCTCCCCAGGGTCCGGCGGCGACTTTTCCCAACCGCGCCTTTGGGAAGCGGCGGACGCCCTTCCCGCGGGAGCGTGCTCCTTCCCTTCTGGTTCTAATTAACGTGGCGATGTGCAAGGAAGGGAGAGGTAAACACTCTCCCCCCTGCAGCCAGCTGGAAGAGGTACAAGAGTACGTTTGAAAAACCAAAACCATCCGTTCTCTCCTCCTCATATACATACCGTTACCTGGATACTGCCTTTCAAATCTGACAAGGTTATTAAAAAACAAAACAAGCCTAATAAAAATGTTCCCATTAACATTGAAAAAAATTAATGGAAAAATAAGATTCTTAAAGGAACAAAGCATCCCCCCTGTGGTCTCTGCAGCTTAAACATACCTGAACGTCATTACCGCTCCAGAGTCAGAAAGTTACGGCTATTTTTAAAAGCCCAGTAGTCTTTTTGTCACTGTCCACGCCAAGGGAAAGCAGAAGGTAACACAGAGTTTAAAGCAATTATTGTTAGAATTATTGTGGGGTTTGCCATTCTTCCCTAATCTCTAAAAATGCCTTTTTAAGAATGTAAGGATTTTTTTTCTTAACCTAAGGGTTTTTTATTTTTACCTCATCACACTCTTTTATGGCAGAATAAAGTTACGAATATACTTTTATCTGACTTCTGCCTCAACGGCCGATATGACCCTTGAAATTTAAATACGGTGTCTTTTCATCCATGAACACCCTCTGATATCTCTGCATTAAAAAAAAAAAAAACACACCAATGTGAGCATTCGCACCAGCTGGAAACCTCTGCCGACTCAGAGCTGAGCCCGGTGCTTTTGTAGCAGCTCACATCTTACCTTTTCGGTGGCTCCGCTGAAGGCTGGGGAGGGGGGGACGAGAGGGGAAGCAGCGCAGGCTTTCTGAGCAGGGACAAGCACTTTAAAACGCAGCTGGAGCACCAGGCTGGCGCAAGAAATGGGGCATCCGAAGGGATCTGGCACCTACACGGTTGCTGCGACCCTCCGCGACAAGTGCTTTTATTTAAAACCGATGGAAAAGCAAACCTTCTCCTGCCCCTGTGCCAACCGGCACAAGGGAAGGCTCTCGTCGGCACACGTACCACCGGCACGATGTGATACGCGCCGCGCCGGTACTGCCGAGCAGAGCAGGGCTCCCACCTGCAGGTGGGCAATAGGAAAAGGAGCGGGATGCGATGGAGGGCTGCCATCAGGGAAAACTGAGAGGAGGTCAAAATCCCCCTGATCTCATCCCAAAAGCTCCCAGCCGTTTTGTGCTATGGGTGCCTTAGGGATGGAGCCGTCGGTAAAGTCTTCAGCCAGTAGAATCAAGGTGCAGTCGGAGCTGTGCGGCGCTCTACGGGCTTTAAACAACTTTCCAAAGACTATACAAATCAAACCAGAAGTGCAATGCGATGCCTGTAAACATCTTCACATCCGTGGCTTGGAAAAGACCAGACTGACTTGCTTGAAATCTGTGCTGCTTCCCTTCCCTCAAAAAGGGTTAAAAAAAAGGAAAAAAAAAAAAAAAAAGCAAATAAAAAAAAAAAAAAGCAAGCTGGTTTTTGAGTCCCTCCCACCAGTTTTTAGATGAGAAATGCAGAGGTGGTATCTTTTTCCTTAAGCACCAAAACAAATTAACCAGTGCAGTTCCACTTCAGAAGCAAAATAAAATAAAAATCAGCTTGGAGCTGACAGGAAGCATGGAAAATTAGAGGATAAAAGAAGAATGTCTGTGAACGCTGTAAGACTCAAAAAAGGGGGAGGCAGAAAGCCGAAATTCAATCTCAAATGCTGCATTCAATACACAGAGATGCCATTATACAAAATAAACTCTCTCTGGGTGTTTCTTTAGGTTTATACTTGTGTAACCGAACTTAACTGTGAAATACAAATGCCAAAACTTGATTTTCTAGAGCTCGTATCATCCTAAAATCAGGTGCACGTTCAGTCGATGCTCTAAAGTAAACAATACTCCAAAAGGCTACAGTTAAAAAAGAAAACGCTGGAGAAGCACCACCGCCTTTCCCGGTTTAACTCAACAGCCACCCAAAAGCACGTGGGCAGCCTGAGCAGAAAAATATCGAAGCATCCTGCTGTGAACCAGCTCCAAAGGGAGGCCAGTCCCTAACTGGGCACCTAACTGGGTTCTCTGCAGCCAGCACCCATGCACAGTTAGGGCGAGAGGAGGCAAAAAGCATCAGCCCCATCCCCAGCGCCACCAACGGGGAGGTGGTGGCATCAGAGCTACTTGCTGGCTCACCGCTTCGGATTCAGCAGCAACTCCTACACAACAATGTTTAATTAAAGTGCTTTTTAAGCTCTGTTTAATTGAATTTCATGGGAGTGGTATCAGATTCTAGAAATTACCCGTCTTCACTGAGCAGGTAAGCACTGATTTTACTGCCTGTTCGGTTAGACAAGGGGACCACAGCTAGAAAATCTCCTTGCAGCTCCAGCAGCTGTCATCAGCTGCGGCGTTACCACGTGTGGTCATGAAGGAGATGGGCTGACAAAGACGGATACCTCCAAAATTACATCGAAGGAGCAAGCGTACGCTTCACCTGCCACCAGCACATGTTGCCGGGTCCTTACGGGCACCTGCGTGGCTGGAGTCACTCCAGGTTTTCGGTAATGAACAAGAACAACATTTGCCTCTACGCACCTTGTTTTGAACATACAAGATGTCCTTGATATCTAATAGGGTCAAATTCATATTAAATAAATCTCTCTCTCTCTCTGTCAAGATTTGTAGGCCAATGGAAAATGTACAAAGCCATGAAATTAAACATAAAAATGTGGTGAAGAATGAAAATGTCAAGTTCTGCCCCAACGCTGGACTGGCACTGTGGCTAGCAACTGAAGTCCAAATGACTTGAGAAAATGCTCAGAAGAGTATTTATTTCAATCGGGTTTTCAGGCAGCAGAGCGCTGTTACTCCTGTTCAGTTATTGCTTTTGAAAGCAAGTGTGGAATCGATTAAATAGATACAGACAAAGGCAGGTATTTTGGGCAGGCTGCTGGAAGGGGCTGATCCTTCCCCACCGATGTCGGTGGAAGCCCGAATGACGTCGTGGCTCCCAGGAGCACGCCTGTGGCCAGCAGCACCAGTGCGTGCACAGAAGCAGTGTTACTGGCCAGGGAATCCCACCTACTGGCTGATGGGCCATGCAGAAAAGTCAATAACAAGCTCACAAATCCGACCTTCCCTTTCCATGGGTGCTAATCCGCGTTTGTTTCCTCTACCCAACCTCTAATTTTTCCCCAGTTTGTAGGCACTAAGCATCCTTCAGTCACATTTTGCTGAGATTGCCTAGTAGGTTCATGAGTAACTGTAAAGAGAGGGAAAGATTTCCAACAGATGGAGGGGCTACATAGTCTTCTATGGCTTTTTTTTCCCTAAGAAACCACACTGAAATCCATAATTCTAACTGCATGTGCACATAAACATTTCCAACCATGCATATGCATGGGCAAAAGCAGTACTCGTTAAGACCTAAAAAGGTGTAGATTCATAGCTGGAGTGACATCTGGGCAGAAAATATACATTCACCCTACTGCTCCACACCGCAGAGATACCTGCAAACCGCTAAAATTAAATACATGGGAGGAATTAGGAAAATAAGTTGGCTTGCGAGTTGTCGCCGCTCCCTCATGTACTGTAATTAAGTTCCTTACCATTTTCTTTCACCCCATTAATCAGGATAGTTTCTTGGTCTTCTGAGGCACAATCCTGCTCTTGTTGGTCATCCATCAATTTAACCTCTTTCTGTTCACTCCATGCCCCACTGCATCTGGCCAACCTGCACATTTCCAGAAACATAACCACAGTCAGTACAATTCCCAGAATCAACTCAAGGAAGCGTGAATAAAAAATAACAAGAATAAACACCCCCAGCCCCCCAACGTCCCGTGCTGCCCTTACCCTGCACAAGAGAACAAATACTATTTATTTAGGCTATCGTATTTTCACTTTTCCACTCCAAAAGCCAAGTCCAATGTCTTTTGGCAAGGTTAAAATGCTATATATCACCATTTTCTTCCCCAAAGCCCTTCTTTAGAAGGTGGAGCGGTACTCTGCACCACCCTTCACAGCATCCCAGACTGGTGAGGGCTGGAAGGGCCCTCTGGAGCTCCCCCAGTGCCACCCCCCACCAGAGCAGGGGCACCTCCAGCAGTGGCACAGGACGGCGTCCAGGCGGGTTTGGGATGGCTCCAGAGGGGGAGACTCCCCCACCTCTCTGGGCAGCCTGTGCCACTGCTCTGCCGCCCTCACAGCAGAGAAGGCCCTCCTCAGGTGGAGATGGAACTGCCGATGGTCACGTTTGTGCCCGTTCCCTCTTGTCCTGTCACTGGGCACCGCTGGAAACAGACTGTTCCCATCCCCCCGGCACCTCCCTTGAAGGATTTATCAGCGTTGATAAGATCCCCCCTCAGTCTTCTCTTCTCCAGACTAAATAGACACATCACCCGAAACTGCTTTGCAAGAGCAGGTAAGCGTTGATATCTCCAGTGAGGTGAGCGGAGACATACAGAGGAGAGGACTCGCCCCAGTTCAGACAACAGCAACTCTGCGTTGCAGTTGGAAGAGAAAGGCAGATATCCCTAGCTACCAGCTACCGCTCTCATCTTCCAAGTGTTGGCAGGTATGAAAAACTCCCCCAAAAAGCAGTTTTTAGGGAAATATAATCACTAGTCTTACTCTTTCCTCAAAACACTTCATCATGAGAGCACCTTCCTTGGAAGCCTTGCTCCCCAGCCACCTACCACCACCCTCACGGCCCCTGTTCCTCTCGGTTGTATGACCACCAGTTGAGGCTGACTGGACTTGACGGTCCTTCTCCAAAGCAACAAAACCAAAATCAGCATCAGGCCCAGATTTTCTCCCTTCCTCCCCTGAAGATCCCCCCACGTTAAAACGATGGCCTGCCTACAGAGAGGGAGACTGTGCAACGGAGAGATGCGGCTGTGTCCCTGGGCACGGGTGGCACATGATAACCCTCATTGGTGCTCCCGATGGACAGAATTTCACCTCTTTGACTGTAAATTCAAGTCAGAATCTATTTTTTTCCTTCTGGCAACTTGAACTCAACTTTTCCTCTCTCATAGAACAGGTACTAGATTGAAGCATTGTTTTAGGTGTTTTTTTGTTTGGTTTTGGTGTGTTTTTTTTTTAAAATCAACATTTGTCAATGTCTCATCTTCCCACAGTATTCACTGCCCTGGTTTCAGCAGCCAAACTTCATTCATATTCAGATTTGCAGTGGAGTCCTCTTAATTAATGTGGAATCCTTACAACCGTCTTAGTAAGTGAAACCTTCACTGAACTTAAAAGATGTTGTGACACCCAGAGTAAGATAAGAATAACAAGCATCAGTAACTCGATTCCTTTGCATATTTAGAGGAATATTTAACTAACCCTGAGAGTTTCACTTTGATGCAAAGCCGTATTTCAAAGCTCTCAAAAGACGAGGAGGTTTGCTGCAGAAGGACCCCTCTCTCCCGCCAGCACCCGCACCCTCCCCACCGCCCCGGGCTCCCGCAGCGGCTGAGAAAAGCTCCAGCCGAAGCATCGCTGACGTGCTGCAACAGGAGCGACTCGAAACGCCAAAGCACATGTCAGGCATTGTTGGGAGTTATTTCCATGCAACTTGGAGAAGATTGACTTCTAAGCATGAAAGCTGCTCTGCGTTTTCCAGTTAACTGTCTACAACTTCACACCTCCTTGATAATATCTCCTGCCTATGAAACGTATCCTAATTAATATAAATATTAATAAATTAAGTTTAAAAAAATAGCTATTAATGAAAATATTAATAAAATATCTTAAGCCTCAGGAGAACCAGAGGCTTCTCAGGAGACCAGAGAACCACCATGGCCCCACGCATGGGCCAGCGTGACTTCTGGGGAGGGGGTTGTTTGCTTGAGGAAGATCTGGGAGAAGGAAAAGCTGAGTTGAATAAGCAACTTCAGTGGACTGTGGCCTCGTAGGTGTGCTTTGCACCCCCTCGTGGTTTGCCAGGTGGGAGAGGAACGTGCAAAGATCTTCCATTTCAATGAGCTGTGGGCAGGAAGGATTGGAGGACGGCGCATTTGGCTATACGCGTTTCCAGAGCTGAACCTGCTCCTCACTTCACTGCACTCAGCGTGGATGGTGTCTTCGATGTACAGAAGTTTATAATCAACATTCCTGTATGCTCTGATCTCCACCGTCTTCCTGAAGTGCAGAGGTGATGCTCTGATGGAGGCTTATCCGTGCACAGTCAGCAGCAGGAGCAAAGTCAAAGGGGAGAGGTCCTGCCATCGCGCCTTGCTTGCCACTATCTGTAGATGAAGGGCTTCAGCATTCAGAGACAACACCCACCATTTATTCTATTAATTTCCCTAATTATTTTCAACCTCATCGACACTGCTGGCCTCCACAGCTCCTTGTGGTAACACATGCAGCAGCTTCTGTGCTGCATGAAATCCTTTTGTTTGATTTGAACCTGCTGTCCTCCAAAGGACAGGCCACATCTTCCCACCAAAATACAGCCTCAGTCCTAGAAAGGACTTGCAGTACGACCATCATTTAAATATTCATGGAATCACACAGAATCCCAGACTGGTGAGGGCTGGAAGGGCCCTCTGGAGCTCCCCCAGTGCCACCCCCACCAGAGCAGGGGCACCTCCAGCAGTGGCACAGGACGGCATCCAGGCGGGTTTGGGATGGCTCCAGAGGGGGAGACTCCCCCACCTCTCTGGGCAGCCTCTGCCACTGCTCTGCCGCCCTCACAGCAGAGAAGGCCCTCCTCAGGTTCAGATGGAACTTCCGATGCTTAAGTTTGTGCCCGTTCCCTCTTGTCCTGTCACTGGGCACCACTGGAAACAGACTGTTCCCATCCCCCGGCACCTCCCTTGAAGGATTTATCAGCACTGATAAGATCCCCCCTCAGTCTTCTCTTCTCCAGACTAAAAAGCCCCACGTCCCTCAGCCTTTCCTCATCAGAGAGATGTTCCAGTCCCCTCAGCATCTCCGTAGCCCTTTGCTGGACCCACTCCAGCAGTTCCCTGTCCTTCTTGAACTGGGGAGCCCCGAACTGGACACAATACTCCAGATGTAAATATTACTTAAATATACAATAATATTCACAGGAGAATCACGGCAACATTTCAAGTTATCCAACTACATAAGCCAAATCAGGACACTGCTGAACTTCTAACTGTTCCCAGTTCAACCCAGAGGAACCAGGTTGAGGCGTAAGAGCTGATGCAGCGTTGCTGTAGAAGGCTTCCATGCTGCAAGTCAGGTCTTTGCTTTATCAGCACGATAAGCTGAGCCCGGCAGTTGTGAGCTGAGAAGCACAAGCATCGTCTCTGCACGGCCTTGCTCACCTCATTTCTGGCGGGGTGTACCGGTGTATAGCGATTTGGTGTAAAATGCCACAGGTGACCTGTTTTCAACCGGTAACATAATCACAGCCATATTAAAGTAATGGCTTGCAATGAATAAAACACAGGACGAAAGCAGAAACAATAATTCTCCAATAATGTAAATTTGTCACTTCCAGCACACAAAACATCTCCAGAGAGAAAATAACAACGCGGACATAAAACACTAGCGAGCTCACCAAGAAAGATCGCAAGCATATTAAAGAAGGCATCGTCCTATTACGGCTGAGATTTCCACCGGCGGAGGAAGGAGCAGGGTCTGACGCGTGGGTTGCGCGCCTCTCTGCCTGCCTGCTTCTTGCTCTCTCAGTTGGTGGTGCCGGTGGTTTGACTGCAGTTCGCAAAGAGGTTTGTGAGGAGGCTTCTGGCTTGCCTTGCTTCTGAGAGATGCCCAACGGCCAACCTTCAAGGAGAGAGCAGGGCTCCTTTGGGCAACGGACTGGGAAGGCAAGCAATGGGCAAGCAGGCAGCCGAGCAAACGGAGACAGAAAAAGAGAGTTTATAGGTGGGGAAACCTGTGGGACTTTTAATCTCCTATTATTAGTTTTGGGGATGTGTGGGCGTAAGGGGGAGGCAAGCACAGGAGGGACGTTTCCAGTGGGTGCCATCCAAAGGCTGGAGAAGACAATGAAGGTGATGACACAGAAGAACGAAGGGGATGTGCCAGCAGACGACTATTTGCCTTGAGTGCGGTAACTCGGAGAGCAGAGCTGAGCTCTAGAAATGAGCTGGAAAGAACTGAGAAGAGTTTAGATGGGGGATCTTCACATACAGTCGGAGAGAGATGAAGTGCGAATGAGACAGACAATCTGAAGTTTGCAGAGACCTGCCGAACACGAGGCCCTTTTGGGAACGGTGTGGCCATGAAAGGTCAGGTCCCAAGAGGGACAGGGAGAAACACCAGCGACTGTGAAAGAAAAGCTGACAAAGGGGCTTGACGCCATGCAGAACAAGAAGAAACCAAAGACTGGGAATAACAAAGAAGAAGAGAACAGCTGGGTCCCTGGGAAGAAAAACTAAACCGAGAGAGGTCTGGGGTATAAAGGCGATGGGCAGAGAATACACCAGGTAGCAGGAGAGCACAGAACACAGAGCCATCTGTGGACAGAAGAATAAAAAGGAGAGAAAATGGATTTCAGACAGCGTCAGGCCATTGAAGAGATACACGACTGGGGTCACGCTATTATGAAGAACCGACAGGAGGAAAATCAGTCACCAGCTTGAAATTTATGAACTCGACTGGAGCTAGAGTGGATGGAGGAAGAGGATGGTGGGCGGAAGACAACAGTCAAAGACATGGAGTCAGATGAACTCCAGGTCTCT